AATTATAGAAACCACCTTGGTGACAATGCCCTGAATTCTACTACAATCTGCAATTTATAAATTATCGCATATGGATGCGTCAAATGATATTTATTTTGTCAATAACTTATAGATTAATAAAGTATTTTCAATTGATTTCACAGTTTGCTTTTAAAAATCAAAGGCACCGGTAGTTACAACCAAAATATGTACTGAATATCGTATATGAAATACTTAAAATTGCAAAGTTTTTCATGATAATTTATACAAAAAAAGTTTATTTAATATTAAATTCTCGCTATTACAGTAGACTTTTAGTCTATCAAAATAATCTAATAATTTGTAAATGTTTTCGGTTTTTATATCCTATTAAATGTTTTTATGAATAATATTATGTTTACATCACTGGCAATGACTACTACTTCAGAGAAATAGTAATTATGTCTTTAAAGTATAGCTTATTTTTCATGTGAATTTATTTTAATAAGTAACCCTTTTATTAAGTAACATGTGATATAAAAAACCAACAATTTTATAAAATATAGATTCAAAGGAATTAATTAAAGTCTGATTTTGTGAGATTAATGTCAAACTTGTTTTACAAAAAAATTGTTTGATATTTATTTTATTTTATTCTTTTACAATATATTATTTTAGTATAATTTATTTAGATAATTATAATAATTTTAAAAGTATCTGGATATACTCCACACGCATTTAACATGACATTTAAAACAAAGTTCATTTGCTTATATTCTCTCTAATAGTATAAAATACATGCCTTTATTGGATATCCTTTTTCCGTAAATCATTACCAGGGAAAAAATACAGTATCGCGTAATTTTAAACACAAAACAATGTAAAAACAAATCATATTTTCTATGTTTGATATAAAAAATGGCATCCAATATGATGATAATGTCTATACTAAGAGTTAATGAATACTTAAGACTACTTTCAGTCTACAAGTTCTATGTGATGATTGTATTGATAATATTTGTGATTATATTTATGTTGAGTTTAACTGTCATGTGTTGTATGTATTGTATTAACCGTAAGAATAGTGACCAAAATATATATCCAAACAATGATGAGAATCGGGAGCTATTGACAAACACTCAGCGCAAACGGTTTGCCACAATTCACCTGCAAATGAATCCATCGCTATCTATGGCCAGAAAGACTGAATATTTTTACTAAACATTGATTTTATTGTTTTAATAATTCACCAGCATACTAATAATAAATAAGTATAATTTAGCTTGAGATAATAAATTAACAATATTGGTACTGTAAATGTATTGTAAATAAACCTTGATTAAATAATAATATGGTAACTAAGAATATAAGAATAAGTAAAAATATATTTTAAAGTGTTTTTAAAATATAACTTATTAGTATTAAGTACCGTATATTATAAATTATTAATTTGATTCAAATTGATTACAAATGCAGTGTTTTACTTAATTAGATTTTAATATAAATTATAATTAGCAATTAGAGTACATTAATTAAAGTATTAAATGAAAAATAATTAAAGTATTCGTGTATTAAAAACACAAATTAACTTAACCGACGGACACATTGACATCAGTGGCACCCCTTCTGTTGTAAATGTATTTATTGCGGATCCTATCCCTTATACTACCAGTCCGTACGGGACGGATATAGGGGTCCTCTTCAATGTCAATGACATGGTTACCTCCGGTAACACCACCACTGNTAACTTAACCGACGGACACATTGACATCAGTGGCACCCCTTCTGTTGTAAATGTATTTATTGCGGATCCTATCCCTTATACTACCAGTCCGTACGGGACGGATATAGGGGTCCTCTTCAATGTCAATGACATGGTTACCTCCGGTAACACCACCACTGCTTGGATATCCACTACTACTTGAATACCCAGGATATCTGTTACGGTCAACACCGACGTTCACGAAACCATTGAGCACATCAATGCCCAGTTTGGTGCCTCCCGTTCCCGTCAGTAGACCCATACGAAAGATCTTTCTGTATATGAATTAATTATATTTTTATTAAATGTCTATTTCTGTACAAATAATCACTTAATTATAAGTATAAATTTCAATACAAACTCACCCGAGATCTATATTAATGTTGTGATCCCTTTGAGCCATGGATTCACTTATGGTGACAACGAGGACACCAATAAGTAAAACAAGTTTGCTGTCAAACATGATATAAAATTTCCAAAATGTTTCACAATTATAGGGGTTTTTAAACTAATTGACTATTCAGTAATTATATACAATAGCATAGGTTTTCCACACAATAAGTAACAAAAAAAGTAATTTTTAGTAACAAATAATAGTATAGTAAACGTGGTTATATAATAATATGGTTAGTGTCAAATAATTTTCCCCAATGTTTGTAATAAACTTGAAAATTGTACAAATATTTTTGCCCTGGGAATAATTGTGAGTGGAAACGAGTATTTCAAGTTTGATTTAATTAAACTTTTTATCTCATTTTTCTCAAAAAAGTACTTTTTTATAATTAGTCCCAAATGTTTATATTCATCACAAATAATGCCTTAAATATTACGTCAAATGTAGTTCTTATCAGATATTAAATATTAATTTACAAAAATAAAAGTACGTAAGTCAAATTAACTTATTGTAAAATAAATTAAATAACTTTAATTAATTTTTAGAAAATTACAATTCGGAAACCAAGTTTGACTAATAAACGAATTTAATATAAAATCATGTAAAATGACAGTTACTAGTACAGTATTGCCTTAAATTAAAGTTTTTAAACATAGTAATTAGGTTTATAGGCACTTACCTCTTTTAAACATACTAATCATATTAGCGCTAGCTCATTAAAAATGATTTAATTTACTAAACATTTTATTACTATTCATATAAATATGATTTCAAGTATTTTTTATTTGAAATCATCAACTAAGCTATTAGAATAAAAATTGCGACAACTTTTCAGAATTAACTAAAAATTAGTAAATCTAAATGAAATTTAATAAAAATTATAGTAATTATAGGTAATCTATGTGGCTTTCAAATGATACTTACCCTTTAGTGATAGTGACCACCTGTCCGCCGTTATTTGACCTAGAATCAACCAACTTTTAAAGTGGCTCTGGACAGGATTTGTGTGTTTTTCGTAAAAATTATTTTGATTTTTAAATATTTTGAGTCGAAATGACACATTATTACCGATGTATTGTGTAGCACACCTTAGAAAATATGTAGAATTGTATTTTATACCAATATCTAACTCAAAAATGAGATTTCATGACAAAATATAAAATAATAAAAATAATTTTTACGAAAAACACAAATCCTGTCCAGAGCCACTTTAAAAGTTGGTTGATTCTAGGTCAAATAACGGCGGACAGGTGGTCACTATCACTAAAGGGTAAGTATCATTTGAAAGCCACATAGATTACCTATAGTTAGTATAATTTTTATTAAATTTCATTTAGATTTACTAATTTTTAGTTAATTCTGAAAAGTTGTCGCAATTTTTATTCTAATAGCTTATTAAGGAAGTTGAGGAAATACCCGGAAAATCCCAAAATCTGGCGAACATTGTTGCTGAGAAGTCGCCCTCAATTATGATGTATATTATCATGATCATATTCTTAATATTTATCTCATAATATCATAGTATATTTTAAATTTGGAGTATTATGATAAAGTAATTTTATTTAATATTAATATAGTTTTAGTATAGTAAGTATAGTAAGAGAAAACAATAAGTATTTTTAGTTTTTATTTTTTAAATAAAAATAAATAACTCTTAATAATAAATAACTCTTAATAATAAATAACTCTTAATAATAAATAACTCTTAATAATAAATAACTCTTAATAATAAATAACCTCTATTCATATTTAATAATTAATTTTTAATAATTAAACTGACAATAAATATTATTTGTTTGTGTTTATATCTCAGAATTTTTAATAGAAAGCACAGAAAAGTTGCTAATTATACGAAAAAAGCTGCTAAAAATATTTTATATCAATAGGTGTTTGATACCTGTATGATATTACTAACTACCAGTATTTAATTAATTATTACAAATCGTATGTGTAATCCACGTAATATGAGAGGACACCCGTGCAAAACGCGCCCATTGGTCACCCTTTACAGGATCAACACAGGACTGGCTATCTTTTGGACCGCCGGATACAACACCGATGAGTACAGCCCTTCCATTCATATACTGCAGTAGTGGACCACCGGAGTCACCCTGTAACATAATTGCTTAATATTAATTTATGCTAACTAATGGTGGCAACATTTGCATGTATTGCAAAATTAGCATCATTTATAGTATATTTAATGACTTCTGGCAAAGGGTTTGTCAGCACATTACCAAAGTATTTTGTTTGAATCAAGACTACTAGAGATTTGTGTAGTATATAGAGAAAAATGATTCCCAAAATAATTGTTATATAATATGTTTAGAGAAATGTTATGGTTTAGCAGATCTGACCCTTATTTCGTGGCTTTTAATACTGATCTGTAAGTGACTTACAGCGCAAGTTAGAGCGCCGGTAACCGCAGGAACTCAGATGACTGTGACAGGCGGTAGACCTGACGACTTGGTCACTATAACCCGTGTCCAACCCATACGCATGCGATGGTTCTCTGCGGGGCTGTTGTCGACGGCGCCGAACCCACTGAACACCGCGTACTCCTCGGCGGTGTTCGTGACGTTCGGTTGCGGCAGACATATGGCATTCAGACTCATATTGTCGTCGCGTCCAGTACTCAGCGCGTCCTTACCGGCAAAACTGATCGGTGTCTTGAGTTTAATTAAGCCGATGTCGTACGAGACAAACCCATGGCTTTCAATGTACTGCGGGTGAAGGAAAAGGATGTCCATTTCGTGCGGCGCCGGTAGCTGCGCACTGGTCCCCACGATTACGGTGTACACATTAGCAGTTAGTTTGTTACACCCATCGTCGCAACTATTTATAGAAATGTTTTCAATTTTATCTTAATTAAATTTACAAAATGATTTTGGTCTCACGGTCAATTGCCACACAACAGGGTAAATTGATACAGTAGTAGAAATTAATTATTGTTAACATAAATATACTTACTAAACACAATGGGTGGCAGTTATGACCCAATATTTATTTAATATAACACCACTGTATCCGAAGTATCTATTAATTAACAATTTTTATAATTATATACTGTACTCATATATTTATATATCATATTTGTACTGAACATTGTTGTATATTATATTTATTCATCTATACTGTAAAATTCGTTGAGAGAGAAGAGAGAGAGAGAGAGAGAGGGAGAGAGAAAGAAAGAAAGAAAGAAAGAGAGAGAGAGAGAGAGAGAGAGAGTAAAAGGAATATAACTTAAGCGATAGGCTACCAGTCCCATTTGCAACAGATTTCTGATATAAAACAACGACAAACACAAACACTGAATCATTTTGATTAAATGGTAACAGAGAGAGAAAGAAAGAAAGAAAGAAAGAGAGAGAGAGGGAGAGAGAGAGAGAAAGAAAGAAAGAAAGAGAGAGAGAGAGAGAGTTATATAAGTTGTTAGTTTAAATTGTGAAATGCTAATGTAAACTGTCCAGGGCATTTCTCCATCGTGTACTACCCGTCCATTTTGTATGTCCGCCGCAATCTCGACATTGCTATTCCATTCGAGACATGGGTTACGACTACTGACCGGTAAATAGCGGCTAAAACCGCACGAATCGGTCGTAACGTTGGGATAGTGTTTGATGTGAGAGTGAACGGCAATATGCGATACAATCACAGCAAACAACACTATACAGTATGTCATACAGTAATCATATTTAAACATTTAATTTAAATTTATATATTTAAATCATATTTAAGAAAATATTTACCAATCAATAAACCAAACATTAATTGAGTAAAACGTTTTGTCATTTTTAAAACCAATTTATATTATTAGTTTTAAAAACTTAATTTTATTAATTTAATAATTTGATTTAAGAAACAATATTATTATATAAAAATATTTCCAAACTAATATTATACTGTAGTAATATATCCAATACTACAAGTATAAAGTAAATGTAATACAGTAGTATAAAATTACAGTATTTAATTTTATATTATTGTAAGTTATAAGAAAATATTTTTTATTGTGATACTGTAAGTTAAATAAAAACTGACATTATTTATTTTAATGTAACATTATATTTTTAAAGATATTTCTACCATATTATAAAATGCTTTTATTTAATTATACTAGTTAGTTGAGTATAACAGTTACTGTATTGAGTGCACAGGTCTCTCAAAATAACAATAAATAAATCTAAATCTAAATAAAATTATAGATTTTAAAATACACAAATTTAATATTATATTTGAGGTATCATACAAATGTAGTATAATTGGATTAAATGGACAAAATTTGATAAATTAGTGTCTGTTTTTAGTTTTTAAAAGCATGTTGATTTTAACTGAATAGAATAAGCTAACTTGTAAGCAAGGTGATTAGCAGTAAATTTATGTAAACCCCTAAATTATTTTGTGGAAATATGTTATACCCCTAGAGAAAGTAAAAATAATATAAAAATTTTAATTAATTATGCAGATTACTTTATTAAATTGCATGTATTTGTTTGTTTAAACTAAATGTACTAGCTAATTGTACTCCACCACAAATCACGGGTATTCAAAATATATTTTAATAATCAAATTTTAGTACAATCGCACTCTTATACCAATATTTACACTTTTATTGTCATTCAAATACACAAATCAAACATTAATAAAATATCCTATAGAATACAGTATATAAGTTAAATTCAATTTGAGTTCACATGTATATTTATTTAGTATTATTATTATTATTAAGACAGTTGTACCATATATTGTAGCATAAATAAATAAATTTAAATATAAAATTAATTAATTTGTTAATGCAAGTTTTATGGTAATTATGCATTTTTAGCACAAATATACATAAAATCAATAATTTGTAAATTGCAAGAAAAAATAATATAAATAAAATTTTAATACAATATGTTTTATTGACAAATCATACAGTATCCAAAACAAATGTACTAAACTAATAAATAAATCCTCCTTTTTAGTACATTTTAACCATTTTTAGAGTTAAACACAAGTAATCAGAATGTTATAATGAATCCAAAATTGTTAGCCAGCTTAAATTGGAAACAATTATATCGGGTGTCATTTTTCTTAATATGTTTGGCGACGTGTTTATACGAAATCATAAAGATATGCGAAATATATCTCTCGTACAAAACGACAACATTTGTTGAATACGAGAACATATCGATCATATCATTGCCGGCCATCACTATATGTGTGGATAAACGGGAAGTGTTGAGCGATAATGCCATTCAGAATCTCACCCAAAATGTTGCCAATTTGAGTGACGATAAAAAGGACGAGTTTTTGGCTAAACTGTCGATTCGGGACCAGTTTCGGGCACTTCATAACAGTTCCCATATTATCAAAAGATGTCAACTCGTTAAGACCATACCATTTAAGAATGAGCCTGGTGTTTACATTGATTGCGAACGGATTACAGCAATTAAGCGCTCCATTGACTATCACAGGTAAAAATTGGACATGATTCAATTTATTAATTCCTTAGTAATTTGAGTCTTAAAATAAATTATATTGTATTTTGGTTTTATTATAATTAATATCCTTTTCACTGTATTTGGGATTTATATGGTTTTACAGTTAACAAGTTTAATATGACATTTGATTGTATTGTAATTAAAAGAATAATTAACAATTTTTATTAGATTATAATTTATAATTACAGAATATGTTTCACAATATTTTCACAACTCAATGGTGAGGACAGTCAACGCTATCGCATCGAAAACGATATCATTTTCAAAGATTTCGTGCGGAGTATAGTGTTCCTGGAGTTTAACACAGATATCAAGCGCCTGTACTTCTCAGCGCATTCCCGGAGACAAAGAGTTTACAACTTCTATAAACAAGAGTTCCTGGATGTGCCCCATCATCGTATCGGTCACTCCAACCACAGTATTCTCCATCACATAGCCTACCGACGAATTATTGTCCACTCAATGAAAGCCCCTTACGAGACAGACTGCTATGAATATAGGAGTGGGGTAAGCTCATTAAATATTGCAAATTAATATATTAATTAACATCTAATTAAATTTAAACTAAATCTAACAAACACCGCTCCATATGCCCAGGGAGTCCGTTCGCGGGCCCACTGTATAGACAAGTGTCGAATGGCAGCTATTCGCCAGGAATTTCCAAACGTATGGCCCGGAAATTATTTGACAGATAACTACACGTCCGATGAGCACATGTACGACATATTCCGGGACTACAGGCAAAACTACTCATTAGACCAGCGATTGGGCGATATATGTCGACACAATTGCGGCGTTCACTCCGAGTGCCACGAAGTCTATTACTCAATGCATTTGCGCCGATACGCGCACGCCTTCACCGGCTACTACATACCGGTGCTGCCGCCCGAGATGCCCGACCTTATATACACTCATTCGCCGAAAATACTGTTCGAGGAGTTTGTCTCATATATCGGCAGTTATATTAGCCTGTGGTTTGGATTCTCAATCATTTTGCTATCAAAATATTTATGGATTTTATTTCGCGTTGTTATCAATAAATACGACATTCATTACAATAGAAATCATTTCAATATTCATGTCATAAATAATGTTATTACTGGTAATAAAGGCGACCGATTGGTGACATCGGGCTCATCGACCCTAAGGCTTGATATTAATGAAGACAATCACACGAGTTATTTAGAGCCACAGATGTGGACATGGAATCAGAGACGTGGGTCAGTCATCAGTGGCACAAATCCCGTGTCGGGACATAAGACATATCCGTCCGTCTTACTAAACAGGGCACATTTAAATACACCAATTCGTTATTGAATCTATTGAATAAATTGATTTAGTTGTATCCATTGCATTAATTTAATTTAAATCAAAGCATAGTTAACCAAATATAAAATTATAATTTAAAATGTATTAAGAATTTAATTTTTTTTTCTTGTTTTCAAAAATTAGATTATTTTACTTTTATTTGATAATTGAATATAAATAAATGATGATTAAAAATAAAAAATTTAATTTTTCGAATTTCTAATAATTTTAATATTATAGTTAATAATTTTTATTTAATTTACATTATTTGTATTATAATACATTGAATGTTATGAATTATAATATTTGTAATTCTTAATCGAAATAATCCAAAAGGGTTATAATTAATAAATAAAAATCATACATATAATTAAAAATACGATTTCTTTAATGAATTGTGTGTTTGAATGATTCAAAACGAATCAAAAGTATTACATAATTATAAACATGTTTTGTAAAGGATTTGCACATTTGGTTGACTCATATATTCGGCAAATGATCGAAACGTGTGGTCCGTATGAGTGGTCCGAAGTTGTCGTTGCGGTCGAGTGAGCTCTGGTGGTGTATGGGTGGGCCCACACCCGCCGCCCGGTTGTTGACGTATCGCGAGTGCAACTGCACGGACCGGATGTCAGGGGTTCCGCTTTTACCTGTCAGCGTCGGTAGTATTGACTGTCCGTACTGTCAGATAAGCGATTCAATTAGTAATTCAGTACTTTTGAAACAATATTTTAATATTTATTGAAACATTTGGAAATTAAATTTAAAACTTGTTACATACTGAATTTTTAAAACTTATTTTTTTGTATAGTATGTAAATTATCAATATAAATAAAGTACACAAATAAAATGTTTACAAATATCTAATTAGTATTAAAACTGATTAAACTACAAAAGTTACATTATAAAATAATAACTGATGGTAAATGTCTGTGACTAATAACTAATAGTAAACATTTACTTAATTGTACACATATTTATGAGAATTTAAATTGACTAAAAACTAATAAAACATAAAACACTTACTTTAGATCGCTGTCGAAACTTAGTCTCATTGACATTATCGGTCTCGAGCTCCGGTATCTTCACATTAATAAAGTACTGATGTCTTAGAAGTTGTTCGCATACCGGCCTCTTCTGGGGGTCCTTATCGAGACATTTACGCAGAAAATCCATACCCGACTCCTCGATATTCTTGGGTATCTTGGACTCCAGGGGCTCCTGAGTCTCGGGCTCCGGAAGCGTAACCCCAGCGAAGAACTCATTTCCCTTAAACACCGTCATATGTCTGGGCAATAGGTCGCCCATAGTTTTCCTAATCAAATACAGCTGATCCACGTCTGACTTGCCCGGCCATAGGGCCTCACCCCTCATCAGTTCGGCATTTACGCAGCCTATGGCCCACACGTCTACTGCGGGTCCGTATTGGGTATCGCCTACCAGTAGTTCGGGTGCTCTATACCAACGCGTGGCCACGTAGTCCGTGTAGTTCTCGCCCGGGCTTAGAGTACGGGCGAACCCAAAGTCGCATAGTTTGACGACACAGTCTTTCGTGAGTAATATGTTTTCCGGTTTGACGTCCCGATGAATGCACTGGTAGGTCGTGAGGAATGCATATTCATTAGAAAATTGTATTTCAATTTCAAATTAATTATAATATGCGAAATGTACTTTATTTTATGTTTGAGTAAACATTATTTAATATGAAAATTATTTAAATAATAGTTTGATTTTGTTTGAAAAACAATTTATACTTTTGATACTGTTTTTAGTATATTTTAATATTTATGTTAATTGTAATCTTATAAAAATACTAGTGATAAATAAAACAATATTTATTAATTTAGTAATATTATTTAATATTATCAATATTACATATTGGGTACAATACACAGTATTTATATTCTAGGTAACTGTTTATAAAATAAAGCTATAATTAGCTTAATTATAA